ACAAACAAATTATAATGAGCAAAACCAATAGAATAATAAATATACTGAAGGTTTTTAACCTAAAGCAAACCTGATCAGTGGAATTAATTTATTCATGACAATTCTTGGAACAAGAGACTGACAACTTAAAACAAATAAGTACACTTTTTAGTTTACGTTATCGCTATCAGATGGCGAGTATCCGTGGAAATAGGCTGCTATACTGCGAGCACCATGACTCGCGTAACTAACTGGTTAAAATAGAAATTTCCCCCCAATTTCAATTATCACTTATTGCTATCTGATTAGCAAGCAGAGGAGTTTCAGACACGTACATTTTATTTATGTAAAAAAGGAAATGATAATAACGTAGCTTGTGAGCGTGGATGACACGTCGGAGCCTGTGGACAGAGCTGATGCCACATTTAGATGAAGAAAATATCAGTGTCCAACGAATTAATGTATGATTTTTAGGGCACCAAACAATTTTAGCCCTATACATGCTACTGGGGAGGGGAAGGGGGCTTCAGCCCTTCCTCGTAGCTACGTGCCTGAGCATGAATGTACACATTTATATTTTGCTAGGTCATGAACTACAGTCAACTTTTTCTAATCTTGAACCAGTAGTACAGGGTGTACGTGAACTACAATTATTTTCACTGAATCTATTGTTATTTTAAATATACAAATTACTTGTACCATCTAATTGACCGAAATATCAAAAACCTATATTCTTTAATAGAATATAGGTATGTGAAGTTAGCATTACTGTTCGTGTGATCGAGTACTGCGAACTCGTATATCTCAGTCTCTCCGCTTCGCAGGCAACGTGGGAGATAGCGTCGTTTCCAAGTTTGGGAAGTATTTGCTAAGAAAATTTATTTTATCATCCTTGTATCTTGTTGGATGTAGAGTATGTACGTCTATCAATGTGCTTTTTATTTTTTTCCCCCCAATTCCATCTCGATACCCGGCAAAACGCTGATTCGCTCTTGCCGGGTATCGAACCGAGATTCTGCGCGGCCTCGTCGAACACTCGTGTAACAAAATTTCGGCATTCATTGTCATGTTACTTACATTTCACCTGATACAATGCCATTCATTTAAGATTCTCTCTCGTTACCGTCCCATTTAGAAATATCGTTCTGAATCGCCCGACGAATGCCGAGATCACGACCGCGCCATTACGTGTTGTACACAAGCGAAACACATTTACAGTGTTTCAAGATTATTGTTACTTCAACATTTACGAATTTCATGACTTGGAAAGCCAAAATAAAACGTAAATCGTAACGGGCTAGGCTTAATCTGCAAATAAATTATAAGACGACCCCGTATTTTATGACAGATATATTTAGGAAAATTAAACCTAGTCTTATATTCGGGTAAATACTGCGTTGATTCTCATGGAATCCCTCTCGCCCCAACTCACCCCTTTGTCACAGGAATTACAATATCAGCACACGAAGAGCAATACATCCGCGATTTGGCCCGGGCACGTGCAGGAGGCGCACTCCCCACCCCATGGCCTCGGGCCAACCCCCTTCGGGCCGTCTTCCAAAGCGGGAAGGACACTCCCAACCCCCGCCTCATGCTTCATTCCCGCCAATTGTCGAAGCAGGGGAACAGGCGTGACAGCAGCCCAGTAGCCCTTGCCCGTAAAATTCCCAAAGGAGGCGTCGTAAGATCATCAGAGTGACAGGATGAAGCAGTCACGCGCCTCGCCTCGCGCCTTCGGCGGCACAATTGCGACCGATTGAATGTTCTGGAAAGAAGGCTCATCAGCGAAGGGGTTTCCTAACACCAATCCACGAAAACTTCTAGAATCTGATAATATGACGAATAAGAGTCGAAATTTCACTCACGTGACGAGGCTTTGGGACTTCGAGGGGAGAGGGGATAGGAAGCAAGGAAGCAACGGGCAGAGAGAAACGAAAACGCACTTGAGAGAGGCAGATGTGACTTGGCGACGAGATCAGCTGCAGCCGCAACTGGCCAGCGCATCCGGCCTACGCAGTCGCAACCCAGAATTAATTCCGTTCGACGGACTGGTTAGACCGGCATTAACGGTGCCCTCAAGGGAGTGCGCAGCCCGTCGTATCGGCGGGCGAAGTGCAGAGAGGTGACGTATGACGGCCCTTAGCTTGCGGGGACGGAGAGGCCCTGGGCGAGGGCCAAAGGAGCCCCACCTCCCCGCGCCAGCAACACGGCCCGTGGACGTGCACCCCTTCGAGGCGAGGCATCAGCTCATCGTTATCCTCACGTATTAATCCATCTCCATAAAGAGAAAGACTTGTGCATTTAAGAATAGGAGTATGAAGGAAAAATTAGAATAGTTCCATGAACAATTGTGGTTGTGTTTCTGTTTTAAAATAAACGTCTTCTCACCACTCAGACGGGCAACACTAAAAAAGGACATTACTAATAAGTAAACCGTACGCATCCATTCGACCCAGGGCGTCTGCCCCCGAGGTTCTCATGCCGGTGCCAGATGTAAGTTACACACTCCCCCCCTCAAATAAATTTAGCGTGCTCGAATGAAATCTGCTAACCACCGACACACTCCTGCGTGACGGTACCCCTCCCCTCTCGGTGGAGATTACTCTGCGGTACGTAAATACATTTTCGACAAACGCCATTTGAAAAGTCTGTACTTACCACTCTCTACTACAACATCCCTGCTCCGTATTGTGGATCATCTTTTTCAGAGGAAAATACTAATGCTACCAACGTTTGAACAAGAGCATGTTAACAAGACAACATGCACACAAAATTACAATAAATGTAATGTAATAATTGTTTGCAGTATCAAAAAAGGGGGTGTGGCTCATGCCACGAGGACATTTAAATAAATCAGATTGTAGACTTCGAGACATCTGAAAAGGGGAAAAAAAAAAATTAATATAGCAAAGGAAATAATCTTCCACAAAAGGCTTAATAATTTGTATTAATTCTTACCCAGAGTTCACTTTCCGGAAACACTTTTCCCATCCTCAGTGGGTCTCTAGCAAGAAGGGGAAAATTGAAAAATTTACACAAGTTGAACAAAAGAAATACAGTGAATTTAGTTAAAAAACAAACAAATAATATCAAATAAATAAAATTGAAAATACTCACTGCCCAAGCAATGTGGATCACTCATAAATGTTCACAACATGGTCAAAAAATATGAAAACAGCAAAACATGCTGGTAGAAGCTAGTTGGCAGCCATCTTTTGAAATGGAAAAAGAGGAAGCCAAGCAATTGTGGGAGAGGGGGGGGGGGGGGGGCAGAAGAGTAGAGGGAAAAGAGGAAGCCTACTTTCTAGCTAGGGTATGAGAGCAGCACACAGACAGCACCAAGTGTTTCTGCAAAATGCATTTGACACAAATTAAGATGTATGGGATCTTGTAATCCCATGTATAGCAAGCTCTAAAAATGAGGAGATATGAGACCTGTAGCCCTAGCTTGTCTAGTGGTAACCTTGTCTGTGGATGCAAAACTGTTTAACACGGGTCACCGTCTTGTAATCATACACCTACAACTCAGCAAGATATTGTGTTCTTAAAGTGTAATGGATCTACAAAACCCGTGCATGCCTAGGACTGCAATTTCATTTCAGTCCTACAATTCTGAAGTTCAGTACTAAAATCAATACTTTTGGGAATAATAATGGATTAAGTACAACAGCAAAACTGAAGGAAAAATACCTCAATGACTTGGGCAGGAAACAAGACACTTTCAAGAAATACAATCAAGAAATGTATTTCGTAATATTATACACAAATGTTGATTAACTCTATACAGAAATATTCATTGAAGAGAGACAAAAATTGGATAATCAACAGCACTAATGATAATTAAGTGTTCTAGAGGTTTCCAACAGAACTGAAATAAATTACTTGTACAGAATTCATTATAATACTAAGTTAGTGACAAAAAATACCTGACACCGATTCTGAAATGGGACATTACTTATGCACCATTACATATTTCACATTTAACCTTCATTTCTCTCACCAGTTTTACAACCTCTATACTTTGCATTAAAATAATGCCCTTTTCCTAAACTGTACATGTATGTTTTACATGTATGAACAAACTACTCTGCATCCATTCATTAATTTTCATTTGTTGATACATGCTGCATCTTGATACAACAATAAAGGCTACTCATAAATTCATTCAGTTTTCTGTCGAGTCTTCTCATACCATTCACCAACTATGCTCGCAGCCTACAGAAGCAGGATCAATTCCATAGAATTTTTAAGACAGCAGAACTACACAGATTTTTAATAGCAGAGTTCTTATGAGCCATTATGCTTTTAGGTATGGCATTCCATTACACACACACAGTACTTGGAAAATTCCACTAATTCTATGCAAAGTATAGCTTGTACATTCTTTTATTGGAATACCAGAAATGGCAGAGCCATTCCTTACAGTTTGGGCCTCTTTGCTCAGAAAATGCTCTCCTTCTACATACAATAACTTAAGCAATACAGGGGGCTCAAAGACCACTGCACAATTCCTATTAACAATTACACAAAAACACATATACACAACTCCACTTCCTAAGCAATAAATACCCACACACATATGACACTAATTACTATAATGCTTAAAGGAAATTAGTGTTTTACAATTATTATGAACTTGCTGGATCAGCAAGTTTATCTTCTTGTTGCTTATCATACGTTTATTGTAATGAAGTTTGGTTTAGAAGATTGACAAATGGTTTGATAAAGCACTGACAGGCAACTGAAAACTATTATGGAGAAAGCTAAACAATTAGCTTCAAATAATAATAATAATGAATTTTCAATGTTCTCTTTCATTTAGAAACAGGAAAAGACATTCATGTCATAAGCAACAGTAAAAAAATACAAGCAAAACATTTATTTGCTTCAAGTTTACACAAGTTATGAACTTTTTTTTATCAAAAATTAATTCAAGAACCCATTTGTTCATTCACTCAGCATTTAACAAAGATAACAAAAACACGCAAGCCCTCTTTGGTGTAAATGACCAGTTTTCAATGTTACCTGCAACTTATAGGATCACTGCAAAACAAAAACAAAAAAATAACAACAAAAAACACTTACAAAGAATAGTTTTTTCTGATCAAAAAGGCCCAGAGCCAGATATGCCTTCATCTACCATTAACATTGCAAAGACTTCAAGTCACATGCAAACAATGGGACATGCAAAGATCAGGTGTTTTGCTCTAAACATTAGGACTGTAAGGCAACCAGGCTGCACAAGACTCTTGGGAACAAGTGCCAGGTCCCTTTCTCCCTGTGAACACAGAACAGACAAATGGCACAAATTACATAAATGTCAAAAAACACACAAAATTGCAAATAAAATTTTACACAATAACTTATTAATTTTTTATTTTATCAAAATTCTTGCAGTAGCATTAGACAAAATAAAATTCACCAACAATAGTGGTGACTTCAGCTTTTTTTCAGAGCTGTTGAGGAAATGAATAAGAATATATTGAATGAAGATGTAGACATCCATTCATATAACAAATGGAGTTAGGTAACTATATAAAATTTATGACAAAGGTGTTTGTGAACTTTAAAGTGAAAAGTAATGTTCTGGAGACAAGTTTTTTTTTATTACTTATTGTTTGCCCTCTCTATTTATCGCTATTAAAATTGTAATCTTGGTGAATCATCATTGTCCTAACACAATAACCAATTTTTTCGTTACATATTTAGTACTACATTACATATTTTACAATTTTGCTATTTTCACAAAATATTTTACATATACACAACTCAACTGCGGTTAGGTTTCCTTTAAAAAAAGTAAAATAATTCTTATATGTTTTTGAACTAACCATGTAAGTATAAATTTGAGATCATTTTGAGTTCGTATGGTAATATTTACTTAAGCTGAATTTCACTAATTTAAAATGCATTTCATAACAAATTATAAGTCTTAATATAAAAAAATTATTAATATAATGTTTTTTGTTGGTGGGTGTGTTTTTATTATTATTATTATTATTATTATTATTATTATTATTATTATTATTATTATTATTATTGCCAAAATACATTTTATTTTATTGTCAATTATCATTTCAAAATAACTTCACAATAGGTCTCTGACACCATTAAAATAAAAATGAAATTTATTTTGTGATCATGCAAGCAGAAGGGATTTTTTCCAGGTTTGTTTCGAATTAAAGCTGAATGTTCCTACTCGAAAGAATGAGTCACATGCTCACACACACTCACTGGCAGTGGCGAACAAACATGTTGCCACTTGCACATAGTTTGAACCACTTATATCAGATCTCAGTCTTAAATGGATTGAAACATTGAAATAGTGTATATCTGTTGCTTTCAATTTTTAACACCAAAAAATTAAAAGAAATAAATCCCAAAGTAAAACTAAAATATATTTCTTTCAGTGAAATAAACACAGCTGATTGCCAAAAAGCTCCAGGAAAGACTTGAATTGATAATTGACAATAAAATAAAATATATTTTGAGCAGTGCTTGGATTTTGATGACCTACAAGTTCTTTGAAAATTACCAATAAACTGGCTTAAAAATAAGAGGAAAATTAAGTAAAAACTTTAGAAGGGGGAATTTCATACTACCCATGTGTCAAATTTCATCTGAATCTGAGATGGTAGGGTAACATTTTAATGAAAACTGTGTTGGTTTAATATGGAATAACCACGTCCTGGATATGGACAGAAGAGTTACAGCAAAAATATTAAATGTTGAAATGTACCTGTCGGACGCTTATTCGTGATACTTATTGAAATATCGTGTACAACTAGTATATTGTTGGTTTCATATATTACTTGTAAATGAGATAATGTTTAATCAAAAATGGAAAGTCTAAATATGAATTACATTTAACATTTAGACAAATTCACTTGTTTCTTGGTGAGCCTTTTCAATTCTTGTGGTTTAGAAATCACTACCAATAATGAAAACCTGACCAAGAGAGGTTTTCGAGGAATAGAGATGTCCAAAACATGTGACTTTCAGGGGTGGAGAGGCACTGTCATCTCGGTTTGTGACAAGCGTTGCAAGTTGGAAGTCGAAGGCTAATGGTTAAAATCTTGATGTCTATGCCAGCTGCCATCAAACATCACGGGGTAGGAGGACATGTTCCACCTAGAGCTTCATCTCACATGTCACTCTTGTAGCACGTAAACGAACACTGGCAGATGCCTGGCCTTCAAACAATATCTCACCCTAACAAAATCTCAACCAGACAGTTGGCATATAGTTAACCGAGACTGACATCTGGCAGACAAAGTGAGAGTCGAACCCCAGGCGCATTTAGGGGACCACCCGCAGGGTGCATCTGTTCGATGAAGGTCCCCAGACCTGCGTTTCAGATAGGCTTGCAAAGAAGCACTGCCTAAGGGCAGTTTCCCTGCTCACAGTCCAGTATGCTAAATAAAAAATGTCTATGAAAGTAAACCATACCTCAGCTAATGCACATTTGTCAGAGCAGATCACTTCTTAGTCATGATCTTCAGATATTCCAAAGCATTCAGTGCAGCTCTGGACTGGGCCTCCTTTGATGACAGTCCTGTCCCGTAGCAGACGGCAACTGGAAGAGTCGACAGTTGCACCAAACACTGAGTTTGGCCTGTAAGAGGAGTTATTAGATCTGACTAAAAAATTGTCTAAACATATATAAATTTATTTATTCATTTATAATAGATAAACCAGCAGGTATACACCCAATTACACGCTTACAAATACAAAAAAATAACTCTAATTTGTAATGGTGGCTAGTAGTGGCAGATTTTCAGGGAAGGCCAGGCCGAAATTGATTAACTATGAAATTGATTAACAACACTAAAAGATAAATATTTTTGAACCTTCAAAACAGTTAGAATTAACTTTGTCTAAAATTGACATTAAAGTTTACGACTGGCGAGTAAACATTGAAGTCATTTCTCTTGCTGCAAACATAGCATTACAATTCAAAATGGAGCCAATGCAGTTCTATGTGTTGCACATAGGTAGCACCATCAAGTGCAGCTCTAGGATTACTTGAGCCTGCAGGATATTGGTGGCCCCAGCTGATGCATGCCTCCCGTTACCATGAAAGTGTCCCCCAACCAATTCGAAAAGTAGTTTTGTTTTGTTCAGCTTTGGAGTTGATTTGGCATGGAGGCTCTCACGGGTCTGGCCTCCTCGAAGGAGTTGCGGTCATAGACAGTGGGTACTCTGTGGTTGCAATGGGGATTGTGTGGCAGGCCCAGTATTTCAGTGGACACAATAAAATCTTTATTGGAAGTACCGTTATTGCACAAAAGTAATCTTAAAAGAAGAAATATAAAAAATATAATTTTTTTACTTGGAATGTCGCCAATAATAATTTACCAATAAACTCAAGGTCATCAACTTTCAATTTCACATTATGATTCTATCCCTAAATTTGTTTGGGGCTTCCCAAGTTTTGAATACGTCAGCTACTGATGGCAACATATTTCTTCACAAAATGACAAAACAAGGAAATAAGAGTTTGCAAATAAATCAATCTCATCAGTGCAACTGGCAGCAAAATTGGTAACATTATCATTTTATAAAGAGGAGTGTTTACAATATATGTGTCTGTAAAAAGTAGTTTTACAGAGGCTTGTAAGAGCATGTCGTGGATCCAACAGTGAGATCTGTTCAAAAACGTGTGGACAACTAATTACGTTAAGAAGAATTTTAACAAAGGAAGAGATCATGATCAGCTTCCTCCTGCCAACCAGGTATAAACGATAAATATTTTTAAAATTTTGAATTCTAAATGCTTTTTTAAAAAAAAACATTCTTATCTCCTTCTCTAGGTTAAAAATCAACATTTAAACCATATTCAGTTTTAATTTTCTCAATAGTTATGTACCGGTAACAAACTTCCATTTTCTTATATAGACTCACTGTGACATTTGAGTATGCATGACACATTCTAGATCTTAAGAGCCCCGAACTTGCTTTTCTCACACATCTTTGAACAATTAAAACAAGACATCTAGTGATGGGACTTGGGTGAGCATTTGGCACAGATTCTGAATGCAAGACAAACACTCACGTCTGATGAGGTAAGTTGATAACCCCGAGTTTCAACATTGATATTCTACCACACCAAGAACATAAAGAAAGGAAGGCTTTGTTAACTTACAGACTTAGGACACTTTCATATCTGCTATCACATTACGAGAAATGAAACAAAAATGGAGCAAGCAGTTACGGCACCATATCAGTGGCCAGAGAATATTGTTACACAACCCTTACACATACCCTCCACCCCTAATTCCTCAAGCATTAGATCTCAGATATAGGGCACATCATGTGAATGCTGTTTACAGTGACCATTTGAATTAACAACTAGATGTAATGTATCTTATAAGTAAGGGGTTGGCTGGAAGAAGGATGTAATTCAGAAAACTCAGTTTTGCGATAATCAAGAAAACTGTGTACAAACTGTATTTCTCACAAATACGTTCATATCACACAAAAAATCATACTAGTAACTGATTAAGCAAACAAAAAGGCACTAAAATTTTCAAATATGTGAATTTACATGAATTTGAAAATGTTGAATTGTGCCCATATTCTGTGGAACAAGCGAATTTTGAAAGAAATAAATGTTTCTATCTATGAAAAGTCTGCATGTATTGATTTCAGAAGTACAGAATAATTTGCATTTTCATCCAGATAAATTAAAATTATTTAATTCTTGTTTTCTGATTTTCAGAAAAGTTTTCCTTTTCAGCCCCTTATTTTTACCTTTAACCCTACGTAAATAAGCACCTGAAGATGTATTACTATCATATAGATGCCCACTATCATCACTAAAAGCAGATACATCTGACAAATTCACATCATCTGTATTTACAGCCATCCTGTTGATGGAAACCGAAAACACTGGTAAATAAAATGATGCAAGATCGTTGTGATGATGTTGCGAAAAACAATGCAATTAAGAATCTCAAAATCCTCTCAAATGCCATCTAATGAAGTTAGCACAGGTTAATCAGGAGGAGTGGTAGAAAGTCACCTAAAGAACTCTTTGATATATTTTATGGATAAACACCATAATTCAAGTTACGCACTTCTTCCAGGCAACCCCTTCAATTGTTCTGATAGCTGTCACTTAAAAAGGGGTAAATTAAAAAAACTGCTATGAAGACGCTTGACTGTGGTCAGGAAAAAGGGTGGTTTGGTAACCAGGATATGATTTACAAACAATATATGGTTTAGTGTCCGTTCCATGAAAATTTGGTTGATGAGAGGAATTGAATGTTGTTGCAGATCTTCAAAGTTCACAGTAATAAAACATACCTGAAATTGACTTCTCCTCAATATCAACATAAGTCACTTCAAACTGCTGTTCAGATGCAATCTCCTGAAGAAACTGTACGAAGTTGAAGGTTGCATCATTTAGAGATTTGTTCTGTCAGAAAGTTCAAAACAAATATTAATATCATGGACATAGGACAATAATGACAGGAATATCACCAGTTACTACTAATGTGAGCTAACACACTAACTTCACACTAATACTCAAAGTGCAAAAAAGCAAAAGATAAATGCATAAACTACAATTACAGAAGCAAAGTCTTACCTGCAATTCAGACAATTTCTCTCCAGACGAAAGCTTCAGATTCTTATGAAACTGGGACACCTTGTGACTATGTGATGTCGTCAGAGTGGAGATTTTACTATCTTTCAGATCGGCATAACGTGCTGCCATATTTGCAACACGCTGAGCAATCTACAAGTAACATATAGAAATATTTCAGGTTTACTTTATATTTCATACATTTTACAACTTGGCAAAGTATACTTTCCTTTACAGTACTCATCCTGATGAGAACTCACTTATTATGAAGTAACATTTGAAAAAAGGAGCAAATTATTCAGGTGAATGATGTTTACGGTATTTTCTAATTATTCAGTAAAATATCCAAAGAATGATGTTTTACATGAGCCTACTCAAAGATAGTAAAATCTGGGAACGCATGCAAACTTTTGAATGATTCCTTCTAAGAATCAAAAACAAAATACGTACTGACTCTTTTTCTTAGACTCTAGCATAAAAAAGTCATTGTAATGTGTTCAAAATTAACATGCAAGGAACATCTTAAATGGTGCATGCACAGAAACTGACTGCACTCAAACGAGGATATACACAGAAATTGTAACATAAACAAGTAGCAATTGGTTACATGTTTCCAAAATGAACATTTACAGTTTAATATATATTTATCCACATATCCTGAACTACTTTCTCTTTATTCAGACACAAAATATCATTCAATCTATTAATTTTACTTTCAAAAAATTTGCATCAGTATGTTACACTTAATTTAGCGCAAAATTCTCATCAATCACAACTATGATCATTACTTTTTTCACCCGAGCTGGAAAATGTTACTCCCAAATACTTATTAGTGTTTTCATTAAGTTTGACTATAATATACGTTACATAACATGTGCCAACCGGAGTCATTTTGTTTAATATTTAAATTACTGAAAATGGACTGTCACAGAATGCTATATTGTTGAACTTGAAGTCTCATTTCATTCATATCATCCACATAACAGATGTATAATTTAATTTATTAATGATTTAATTAATCTATTTTCATAATTAATATTTAATATACTTGATTTGTATCTAACAGTCCCATTAGATGCTTCAGAAGTTTCTTTCAAGAAACTTTCAAACATTCTCACAAATTTTGAGCAGCTTTAATCACAGCATGGCACATGCACATAAGCAGGGTGGCATAGTAGTTGTCTGCACATGACATACGGAGACAGTCATAGTTTTCAAGAAAAGGAGTACAAAGGGGTCACTGAGGCCAAATTGTACATACTGTGAACAATGAAAAATGCAAAACAACAATGCCATTATTTCAAATTACAAACAAGTTTCAGACAGTAGGCGCGGATCCATGGGGAGAGAAAGAAGGTAAATTTTAACTTGTCAAAAAAATTTCAAGCAGAAATATTTTGAGATAATCATTAAAACAAATAAAATCGTATTGCAGCATAAGCCGAGTGTATCCTGCAACATTTTAAAAATCTGTAATATGATATGGACCAAACATTTTTATTTTCCCTCCCAAACTTTCAGGATCCGCCCCTGCAGGCAAGAAGCATTCTAGAAGAGCTTGGAAGTGCAAAAGTACAGACTAAAATGGGAATGGGAATAAATTTTATGCTCTCACAGGTTTGTCCAATTTGATATATTAATTTTGTCATCCTTAAATTAGAGTCAATCGGGAAAAGGAATTTCTTTGAAATGCCATTTTTGAGAAAAGGGTTAAATCTGACTTCATAACTTATTCCTCCATCTGATTGTCCCTAATTAAAAGAGAACATTGAATTAAGAATAGGAATAAACCCAAGGATCACTGATGGTGAAGAAAATGATGAACAGAGGAAATAAAATCTCTCATAGCAACAATTTTAAAAGCTTAGAATGTAGCATCATATTCTATTTTGAACAATGTGAGAAATGTGACAAAATCAAACTTTTTGGAAGGCATCAAACCATATGGCCATTTCAGTCATTCCTAGTAGTGAGGATTTTGTTTGTATTTAGTTCATGAAGTGAATAATTTAATTGGAATAAAGCACACAAAAGACCAAACTCAAAAAAATTGACGTTTTGTCTTTAAAAACAAGAAAATGTACAATATCAGCAAAAACAATATTAATATTTTTGAGTGTAGTGAAGGGCATAACTTTAACTATATTTCACAACATTTATTTATTTGTATTTCAAGTAAAAAGTAAATTAGCAGGATAAATCCAATGTTTTCATCCTCAATAATTTGTCTCAGATTTTCTCATCATTTTGTATGCACTATTATTACTTAATTCCTATCATATTATTTGTTAATGAAGCAACATATTGGAAAGATTAAATAACAAAGTCAAGAGGGAATCATCAAAATCAATATCATTTGAGTGTGAATATACGGGCATTCAACAGTGTTTCTGAAAATATTTAAAACCCAAATCATGTACAACTGCCTTTTCTGTCAGAAATACCTAATGAATTTAGAATACAGATATTCATTTTCAATCCCTCACAGGAGGTACATCCCAGACTTTAAATTCTCGATATATTAAACAAAGTTGGGTTAGTTACACCACTTATAACTCGAGAACGACTGGACCAATTTTAATTATCTCAGATCTTTTGAATTCATCTCCACCCTGAATGGCAGAATAACTATTAAAATATCCGACAAATTCATGAAATACCAAAATTTTTCACTCTATTGTTAAATAACTTCTAAATAAAGCATTTTGGGGCATTAAAAACTAAAATTTTGACGCCAAAGAAACATTTCTAATATCATAATCTACAGGAAGAGATTTTCTTGAACATTCTATTACATTTTTGCTGGTCCAGCGCATTTCGATATTCCCCCACCTACTCAGAGACGTACAGAATCTGCAACTAAATGTGTATGTGAGGGACACAGAGAGGGAGAGGGAGACGGAGAGATGGGGAGAGAGAGAAAGAGAGACACGGAGGAAAGGAGAAAGAGGGAGATGAAGGGCAGAACAACATTTGTTGGGCTCTGCTAGTTCTATATATTTGAGAGATCTCTGTTGATATGATTCCAGTACCAAACAAAGAACCGTATTGACTGGAAGTCAGATCATTGAAACAAACTGTCATTTTTGAGTACACTAATGCAAAAAGTTACTCATGGAAAACTTTAGTTTACCTTAAAATTTAAAAAAATATTTTTTTTACCAAGTTAAATAACATAATACTCCCCCTCCCTCCAAAAAAGAGGAAAGTATGACTTACCTCATCGTCATCTTCCAGTCCTGTTGGCATGTTGCTAGAGGCTATAGGAGCATCTTGAAGTTTCTCCCACATTTTATGAGCTGCCATTCTCTTAGCCAGTTTCTTGGATTTCCCAGTCCCTACAAGCATTTCAATCACATTAACAATAATAACTGAAATTCCGAACATATAAAACACATTGCAGATATAAAAGTAATGAATGTTAATGTAAAAAAATGACCCTGTGGTATTACTTTCTTCAAAAACAATAACATACAAAAAGTTATTGAGCAGCATTTCAAATAGATCACTTCAAATTTGCAATGCAACAGGTGATTACAACTAGGTAGGTTCAATGCAAAGGAGCAGCAAAAAGCTTGTAGAAGTGTGCAGTCAGCAATATTATACAATAACACCAAAGTAACACTTCTTTAGAGTAACCATTTCCTTTTTCTTGTAGATAAATACTTCATCTCCATCAAGTTAATAATTTTATGCCAATAAGATTATTAAAATTGAAAAGAGGTAGCAGATAATTAAGAAATATTTGAAGGGCTCTATACAACAAGAGGCTATCCCACATTTCATGTGGAATTGAGTTATTAGCATTAAGTATGACTTTAAATATTATTCTTTTAGTGTAATATGTTATTTAAATCCAATATGAACTTATATGCCAGTGTACTGTGTATAAAAAAAAATTCTGTATATCAGCTTCACAGAAATCTCAGTCGAACATGGGGCTATCCCAAACAGGTTTCAACTGTTTTTGGTATAAAATAAATAAATCCGCAATGTGAATCTGAGCTTCTGTCTTATTAGTTAGTAGCTCTATTAACTAGTGAATAGAAATAAAATGTCCTTACGATCATAGTAAATCAATGTGACCAACTGTGTTGTTACAATAACTACTAAGTTTATGGGAGATGAGACTGCTATCCCATGCATAAAACATCAAATAAAAGGAAAAGATTTCCTAAAAACTCAAAAGAAAAAGGTTAGAAAGAAGGCAAGGAATAGTGAAAAAGAATATATTTCGAAAATACAGAAGTTTGTGCCAGCCGAAGTATGCATTGATATTAAATATTGCAAAAGAGAATAGTGTACAATCAAGGTATTTTCAAATTATGAAATAGATACTGTGATTTCTGTAAATTGGTTAATTGTAATACTCAAATTGAATGTGTATTTGGGCTAATTATGTATTTTTCTTTCAAAACAGGGTATTTAAAGGACAGAACCAATGCTAGTGAAACAAGAACAATTGTTGTAAACTCCAAAAATGTAATAAGATATTAATATTTTTTTCTCATCATTTGCATAAAGTTGCCTTGATATGTATAAAAAGTATTTGACAAAAATTTTATAGATCCACGATTTCTCAGTTATGTAATGAATCTTCTAGTAAAAACCTCAATATCTCAGAACTAGTTTAGCCCTTTGTTTTACTGAGCCCTTCACTTGTATCACAAGTGGTAATAAACATTTAAAATTTGAATTCCCAAATTACTTTTCTCAACCACTGCACCAAGAGTTAAAATCTATTTTAAGAAATGGCACCATTAATGTACCATACATTTAAAAAATGACACAAAATTTCAGGTTTGTGCCAGTTATTTATTTAAAAGGTTTGCTGTGTTTTCTCAGGCTTCGTGCACAGGTTTATTACCTTGTGAAGTAGTGACACACACAAATCATGCTAACTTACTTATTTAAAGTATTTATAGGCAACAGTACAACTGGTGTAGCCTGAATCATTGCTTACACAATTCACAATTGACATATTGTGAGATATTCATTAAATGTTTTATTAATAGCAAAGGTTAATGAGACAAATAGCATTTGAAGCTACAAAAAACCAAACGTCACAGTAGTTGTTTCAATTCCACGTAAGTTTAAATAGACAATAGTAGGATGGTGCTTTGATAATCTATTGGAAGCCCTCTTGAAAGCTTTAATGTTTCGAGTAGGTAGATTATTCCGGTTTTCAACAATCCCGTGGCTCAGAAATTGTTTGTATTGCAGGAGTCTATGTCTAGCAGTGGTGAGTTTGGCGTCGTTGCTTTGCAGATGTGAATTATGGGTTCTATGGAACATCACAGGTATACTGTCCATTCAGAATCTTGTAATTTTCTATCAATCATATCGCCCCGCTCTCTTCTTGTTATCAACTTTGGAAGCCCAAGTACAGTTAGTAAGTGTTCATAGTTTAAATTTTTAAGGACTACAGGTGTCGCCCTCCTCAGAATTGTTCAATCAAATTAATGTCTTTGATAAGGTAAACGTTCTAAATTGTTGAACCGAACTCAATTATAGGGAGAATGTAAGATTTTTATTGTATTCCATATTTGTCTATTGTATATTTATACAACCTGTCAATAAATAAACCTACCAAGTTCTCTCTGCTTGAACACAGTACACGCAATAGTAAAGAGCCGTTCATGAGGCAAACCTTCCTCAGTAACCATCTCGTAGCTTGGTGGAGGCCATCGCCGAGACATGCACATTTCCTGAAGTGAACCAATCGGGTTCCCAGGAATTTTATCATCATATGGGGACACAATCTCGTTTTTCCTGAAATAAATAAATAATATTAATATTAATAATAATAGTAATTAATATTATTAGTCTTTATTAGTGGTGAGGCACAGACCATTAGACCTAATCTTCTACCTAACCATGTTAAATATTTACATTATTTCATAAACTATGAAGAAGATCGAGGGGAGGCAAGAACTTTTGTTTTACTTCTAGGAGAGCAAACTAGGGACCATTCCGGCATACACCTTAAGCAATTGAGTGAACCCAGAAACCGCAATCAATTGGGTGACTGAAAGCCTAGGACATTGACAGAAATTGAAAATCTAAAAATAAATACATTAATTAGAAGAAAAAACAACAAGAAAACAAACAATGGTAATACAAGAAATTAAATAACAAACTTATACAATAAGAATTTAAATTGAGTACAGCAACTGCAACAAAATGGTAAAATAATCAAATTCATAATTATAAAAACAAAGATTACAATATTTACAATTTCCATATCAGTTCCAACCAAATAAACATTACAACGTATGTATAAAACGTCAAGTGTAATAAAATTTGAAGATTGTAGTTTTCACTGATAAAATAAATACAATTTATAAGACAATAAATAACAGTAAATGTGAGAACTTAGCAAATTTTACTTTCCCAGTAAACAGTATCTTCAGAAGTAAGAAGGAAAGAATTTTTATAAATATATTGTTTTATCTTTATAAAATATATACACAATCATATTTAAATATTATGAAACATCTGTTATATCAGTACAACATTTCAGAAATAATTTGTTTCGTTCTTCACGCAAAAACTATGGCATAGATATTTGTAGTAATTTTGTTATAAATCAATCACCAAAACACCAAATACCAGATTGCTTAGTATAAGATAAAAAGAAAATTACATAATCAATAAAATAAATGAATAATAGCTGAGAAAATCACATGGAAAAACTAAAATAATTAAATGTCATAAAATCGTAAAAATGTCTTAAATGTAATTATGGCACCGTTCGGCCTTAAGAGGATATGGAATAATTTTCCGGTCAAAAATTATTTTGGGTATTTCATCTTTCAGAAATCTCCCAAACATTTTTTTTTTAAAATTTGGAGTTTAAAATTTGTTGATATCATTCTTACAAGTTTTTTTTAAACAATATTTATAAGTGAAGTCCTCCTTAGGTAGTTGCTCCAATACTTTCAGATACTGTTCCACAATGAAGCGCATAAATAAGAAAGACTTAGACATGCAGAAAGTACACTACGTTGTGAAGCTAACCACCATAAAAAATATGTCAAAAGGACGTAATTATTGGAAAATGATTATTCTGATGAGGCAAGTTATCGAGCGGGTGTGTTCTTAAGATTTTGGTGACATTTCCTATGCTACAATCGCATCTTTCAAACTCCACTGTATTCCGATTAGAACGTACGGCGAATTGACTTTTGATCACCAGAGACGCGATTATCTATCGGGAGCTTCCATATCAAAATAGTAGTTCACCTAACAAGGGCACAAACAATGTAATTCCACGCGCGAGTCAAGTCTGTCGTCCAAACGTCGCGAGGACGTCAGAGACTAGTGCGGAAATCACCTCGGGCAGTATGGGAATTCATAACATTTCTGTTTCCTCAGCAAGTTGTTTGACGTGATTTCACTGTATTTGTAATTATCCTGTTAAAATTGAGGAAAGAACCTACGTTAAAAATACGATAAATTATACTTCTTAAAATCCATTTTTGTATTTTCATGCATTCTTAAATACAAATAAAATGCAACTACTCATTTTTGAATCTCTCACAATTTTTTGAATCTTTTAAAACAAAATCTTGGGAGTACATGAGACAGAGTGTGCATTTGCACAGGGTTAAAATCGAGGAAAACGCGTAAAAGAAAGTCTCCCCATGCCTAGTGGTAAACGAAAGATATCTAGCAGGAAAGGAGCCAAACGAACATTTTGAAATGTAATACACAAAAGCCATATTAATTGTCATTGTTAGGGCCCGGATGTTAACGACCTAAAAGAGTTAGAAATACGGAAGCATTTATGACCTTAACTGACAAACTTTTGGTTGCATTTCCGTTAGCTTCACAATCTTTCCGCTGATTTAATAACCATTTTATTGATAATATACTTTTAAAAACTAGCATTCACAATTCACCCTTTCTTCTTTAGCGCCCCATGAAGACAATTATACCTGCTAAAGTTATTAAATCAATTTTATAGAAGCGGTTGACCTTGGTACAAAACATGAAAATATTGCATTAACACTTCCATCGCATCTGGTGCGTTCTACACTCTCTTTTTGTCCTATATAGCTTACTCTCCCAATTCAACGATAAAGGAAAAACACAACTATATACAATTGTAAGAAATTAGATAACATTTAGGAGATATGAATAATGTATTTGAGAAGACCATACGCGTAAGTTTTCCTGATCCCCGGCTTCGGTATGATGTGAGGAGTGGGGAGTTGGGTTATTTTGACGCAAGGAATTTTGCATCAAATTTGTAGTCTCTTTCTCGATGCAAAATAGTTTCTATTATACGGGAGAGAACATTTCTGGTTATCAGATTTTGCCTACAACGATCTTGCTATCATTTATTCTTAACTTAACTAATGTTAGCAAAGAAGTGGAGGTAGGTATTCCTGGGCTCAAGAAAACGTGCGCATACAATACAAGTATACGAATATAGAATCAAAAAGATAAAAACATATTTTAAAAAATCATGAAAAAATATGACAAAAAATTAACGGAAAATGGACCAAAGGATTTTAAAAAACCAAAATATGACTATGACTCGTAAAAATTGCATAATTGTAGTCATTGTAGATAAAATTATGGTTATCTTACATTTTCCATTGAAAAAAAAAAATACAAAGAAAAAGTACATGTCATCTGAGGCCTAGTCATTTCCTCCTCTCAGATGAGGCTACAAATACCATTTTCCTCGTAGAAAGCTGAAAAGCTGGCAGAGGGCGGTTTCCTCGTCTTCAATCATCTCTTCTCCTAGCGAGGCGGCAAGATAATGCCTTCAACGGCTGACTCTTATGGCTCGAATATTATTTCTGCCTATAAAAAAATGTATACTTGACAGGTAGTAGGAGAGAGGTTTCTGGTATCCAATCAGAGGCTTCAAATTATGTCATTGCAGTGTTGCCGATAGCCATTAAAAAATGAAAACTTCACTGCGAAGCTACTGAAAATTAAAGAGCGCCATTACTTGGTTACCAGTTCTCTTTCCCTTTGCATTTGCATTATATGCATTTTCCTTTTAAAATGCGTCTCGCTTCACATGTTTTTTCATTTGTTTTACACGTATTGTGCAAAATGATTCGTTATTTTCTTTAATTGGGCGAGATTAGTGTAAGGGTCAATAGTAAATACTTTATGAAATAAACAAGTGTCATTATTACCATTCATTTAATACGTTTCGTAATACAATGAGCAGTCATGCATATCTAAACCATGATCTGATGCAAGAACGACTTCACGACCATGGGTGTGCCGCCCCCGTAAACGAAAATATCGCTTTACCCACACTCCCAGCTGTCAAGGAGACAGAAATATTATTCGGACAATACCTTACCACACTGCAGTGTTACCAGTCGTTCCGAGCTCTTTCCCCACCACTACTACGAAATTTCCCCAAATAACCTCCAATGAAACCAAATCCCCCAACTTCAAAACGAAAAATATTCTCCAACTTATGCCAAACATTAGTGGCCCAGGCGATTCCATTGGCTGCCCTCTTAAATTCAAATCAACCTATCATCGTCTTTTGAGGTGCCCGAAGTCCTATACAATCTTCGTTTTCTAACTTTTTCTTTCTCTAGGCCTGTCATTTATTTTTCTCTTTTTAATACAAAAAAAAAGAGAATATGTCCAAAGCTTTTTTATTAATACTGAGAGAATAATATTTATATCTTGACACCGGGTGAAAATAATTTCCTCAAAAAATCCGGAAACATTTCCACGCCCATTTGTTTCCCATTATTTGCCCACAGCGGACACAATTCCCCAACCTGGCAACCTCGTCACAGTTAACCTCCGCATGCTCTACGGCAGCGTTGCCAGATCCCAACTGGGAAAGTGCGCCATCAAGGGATAACAATCCTTCCAATTCCGCCATCTGAGTGGTGGAAAAGCGGACTTTGACTCCGGAGCTGGTCATTTCAAAATCGCTAAATTTCCAAGTTGTTTAAACTAAATACTCTTGTGCAAAAAGCCAACCAATAGTAAGTCAATCAATACTCAGGTGCGGATCCACAGGGGGGAAATGAGAGAAATTACCCCCGCTAAAATTTTAAAGCAATTATTAATTTTAACTTGTCACGAAACTATCAAGCTAAAATATTTTCGGATAATCATTAAAATGAATAAAATCGTATCGCAGCGGGAGGTGAGTGCCGCCTGCCAATTTTACACAACCTGTAATATGACACATTTAACCAAAACATTTTGAATTTCCCCTCCAAAAATTTGTCTCTGGACCAATCCCTGATTCTTGTATAATTTCTGGAAAAGGAAAGCACGAATGCATGCCTGTTTAATTCAAGATAAAAAAGTGGGTTCAGACATCTTGTCATAATAGTTACACATTTGCAAATGTTCGGAACTTAAACTCTAGTGCAGTGACGTAACATTCTGGTCTGCAAGGTCCGCGATGCGGGCGTGCCCAGGTAAGAGGGCCAATTTTGGGGGTACATTTTTATTATTTACGGTAATAACACCACTCGTGGTTACTACGAGTATACACTTCTATAAAGGGGGCCTGGATAAACGTTTTGCGGCCCGGCCCACACTCACTTCGTTACGCTACTGCGCTTTGCGTGGGGCATGCTCCAGACGTTATCAATATTTGTACATTTTCACGAAAAGGTGGGTACTACTGATGTATTTACAAAAAGCAACGGATCGTCCAAAATCGTCTCAAGAAACCGATTCCGCCCGCTGGGCAGAATCCCGCAAAACGACATTTTCTTACGAGTAGACTTTTTTCTGCCAAATAGGCGAAATTCCGCTGA